TGAAGGTAGAGATTATATTGCCACCTGACCAAGCCGCCCGTATCAAGCAGAAGATCCGCGGTGGTGAATGGCAGGACATCAGGAAGAAGGTCCAAGAGGTGAGCGGGGCTAGACAAGCACGAAGCCAGACAAACACTCGTCTATTCATAGTTGCTCTTCCGACAAAAGGCGACTCATCGACTGTACCGTGACTCTAAAGCAATTGAATGCCTGTAGACACTATCGATGAAAAGAAACTGTTGGTCATTGCCCAGTTTGCGTGAGCGTGTTACCTCAAGTGTTGTTGATAAACATTGCTAGTAGGTTGGAAGCCATCGCTATTAGGTTGGAGGCCATCGCTACTAGGTTTGAGGCCACCGCTAGTAGGTTGGAGGCCATCGCTATTAAGTTGGAGGCCACCGCTAGCAGGTTGGAGGCCACTGCTAGTAGGTTGGAGGCCATCGCTAGTAGGTTGGAGGCCATCGCTATAGTAGGTTGGAGGCCATCGCTATACTAGGTTCGAGGCCATCGCTAGTAGGTTGGAGGCCATCGCTATTAAGTTGGAGGCCATCCCTATTAAGTTGGAGGCCATTGCTAGCAGGTTGGAGGCCACTGCTAGTAGGTTGGAGGCCATTGCTACTAGGTTGGAGGCCATCGCTAGTAGGTTGGAGGCCATCGCTAGTTGGTCGGGGGCCATCGCTAGTAGGTTTGAGGCCATCGCTAGTAGGTTGGAGGCCATCGCTATTAGGTTGGAAGCCATCGCTATTAGGTTGGAGGCCATTGCTAGTAGAAGCCCGGCAACTCTGGAACTGTGGGACTTTCGAAGAAACCTTTCAAGTTCTGACATGTTGGCGCCCGAAGATCATTTGTAGGACAACCCTAACTGAGCAAACCATGGCATTGGCATGGCCGGACCCTGAAATACAAGGAGAGGAAGTTGAAAAACTACAGGGTTTCTTGAGTTTGAACAGGGAATGCGCGTCCTGAATGGAAACGGGACAGGCACTCCAAGCTGTTGCCGGCAATGTTAAACCTGTTTTCTTTCGCAAGGGTCACAACTGCGAAAAGAGAAAGGCCGTTAGCTGTTGCAGAGTCACTGCGAAAGCTGGAGTCGCATAGAACAGGAGGAGAGACCACAGCAGAATAGTGAAAGCTCAGCTATGTACACTGACTTGGCCAAGCGTGCATAGTGTTCTCCAGTGAAGGATCAGGAACCGGAACTCTCCTCCACCCCAAAATAAAGTGAAAAAACAAAATATATTTCCTTTATCAGACGAAGTGGACTCGCAACTAGATCTGGAACTAGAACTGGATCTAGAACTGGAACTGGATTTGGAATTGGATCACCTCCCCCCATGAATTGAAATGACAATGAAAACAGGAAATAGAATTAGATCTAGAATTGAACCTGGAACTTGATCTCCCCTCCCCACACAAAAAATAAGATGTTAATTTCAACTAGAACTCTCTGCAAGCGTGACAATTGTGACAAGGAGAAACTCTTGCTTCTTAATATGCCTTGGCCCAGCTTAGTCTTAACGTGATTTGTCGTTTGCTGTTAGATTGGACAGTTGGGGTTTCTTATTAGTTTTCCTTCAGCCCTCAGGTGAATGTGGTAAATGCGAAGGCTTCAAAGCCTGAGGACGAAGAGATGGTAAAGGCCCATATACGGGAAGATGGTGGCTTCGACAAGGTGAATGGCAAAGTTCGGAGCACCTTGATGGATTGGATTCAGCAACAGCTGCTATCTTTCCTTGACGAGCAACCAGAAGCCACTGATTTCCTGCGGACTGCCGGGCTCAGCGTGGATAGACTTGAAGCACAAGGAATTCAAACTTTGGAAGCTGTGGGAGACAGATTGCTTCAAGCGAAACTACACAAATGGGGTTTAGCTCCACACCTCTTTGAAGGCCGTTCCGAAGAAGAGGTGCGCGGAGAGCATCGCGGGCAAGCGCATCAAAGAAATTGACACCAAAAGAAACCACATTGAAACTTTTGCATGTCCTTTTCAAGCAGCAACAACTACTATAGCTTCCATTCCCAAGGCACAGTTTGTTGAATCTTAGACCTTTCCCCTCAACTTCGTACAGGTCGCTGCACCCCTTCTTAGTGCTGCCCCCGTTTTCCGTTCAACGCCTCTTGCTTTCTTCCCGCGCTGTTGCCCACTGTCACCCCTCCAAATTCCGTTGCCCAAACGATGAAACACAGAGCATCGCGGCGGAGCTCCACGGTGGAGCTCCCGGTACCCGGAGCGCGTTGGCACCGGTGCTTTGGCTGCCCAACTGCCAAGACCGGAGACGAAGCGATGTGCCTCTACGTTCGTAGCGATGCCAGCGCCACGGAACGGTAGCGAACCTTGTTCCTAGTAGTAATGCCCTTTGCTACTAGTAGCGTCCGTGCTCCTAGTAGTAAGGCCAGGAGCCCCTAGTAGCTTCTTGTTCCTAGTAGTAATGCCCTTTGCTACTAGTAGCGATGCCTTTGTCACAACGTGCAAGAGATCTCTGATCGGCCTTGCCGCCCACACCCGTCGCGCCCACAAGTGAAACTGCGCCACAACGAACGGGCCCAAGCTTAACGTTTTAAAGGCAAGATCGGGCGGAACATTTAAGCCTGGCGACAACTGATTCGTGAAAATTCCTGATGCGCTTTGCTGACATGTTTGGTGGCTGCGGTCAGTTTGCCCTTGTCATTGAAGGTCCGACGTGACAGAAGAATAGAGGAGAGCTTGCCCACCCAGGAAGACAAGAAGAAGTTCCGCCACTTGCGGCAGGAGATTCTTGCAGGCGAAGCAGTCGTTGAGGAACTGGTGGCACTTGAGATGTTAGTGAGTCGTGGTTCTGATTGGTGTTATGATGCTGACAGTGATGATGACTTAACGCCGGAAGACGGAGGGCCCCAAGGTGTGGGTCGTGTTGTAGCATGGCATTCCAGATCCGGAGAGAAGGTCGGAGCGATCCAGATCCCGCGTTCCGGCTGGGTCAAAGTACAGTGGCAAGTCACAGGGTACACACGCAGTTATCGTATGGGAACATCGGAGTATGCGTTGGCGGAGTTGGTGTTTGCTGCAATCCCAGACCAAGAAGAAAAGACTCTTAAAGAAGTTCCTAAAGGGGAGATTCAGCTACATCACTTGCGGTGTAGCTTCGGCTACAAGTGTGGCACCCGATGGGCCCATTATGCGCTTTTTGACAACCGCCCAGAGGCATGTGAAAAGGTGGCTGCACTAAAGCCAGGCGATGTTGTGGAGGATAGAGATGGGGACAGATCCGTATGCATCGGCTTGAAGTACAATGCGGACAAGAAAAAGGTAGACCTGTGGTTTCACTGCGAGGGCAGAGATGGCGCAGGCCTCTTTACACATGCAGATCACAATGTATCTTTGCGAAGAGTTTCGCACAAGCGCGTGCAAGAGGCCAATCGAAAAGAAGTGGAAGGTGCTTCAGATGGGGAGATCGATCATGATGAGCGCGAGTGGGTGGGTCAGAATCTGAAACCGACCCTTCGCTACCTATCCAAGTCAGGTCAGGTCCTTCACTTTGACGTTCGAGATGAAATGGTTCGGAAGTTCAAGATGCCCTACAAGTCTGGGGATGTCCTGGTTGACAAGGCAGATGGGGAGAAGATGACCTGCATCGGGGTTGCCAGTGATCCTATGAGGAAGCTTGCCACGCAGCATGGGCGCCGAAGAGGGCGTCGAGTGACTGGCAGTGTGGCAGAGCTCTGGTTTCATGTGGAAACCTCCGACGGGGCTGGTCTCAGTCCCAAAATGCATAAGGCCTTGAGCCGTTTCAGGGTTTTGCGCAATGAGCCAGTGGTTGAAATGCTTGGTGCAGCCTCTTCACGCGATTCATGGGATGCAGAAACAGCGGTGGGCTTGCTTCAAAGCCTACAGGGCAGTTTGCAGTGTGATTATTGCTTTCCGAGAGGGGCTGGTGAGCATTCGACTCCCGACTGGTTTGATGTGCGGGAAGATTTGGTTGAGAATGTCGTTGGCTTCAAACCTGGGACCGTCTTGAATATCAGAGGCACTCCACCTGGGACTCGCTTAACCCTGATCGGTTTCAGGACAGATCCCGACAACGGTGAAGTTGGAGTTTGGTGGCATCATGAAGAGTCTTGTCCGCAGGTGGCGGCCTCCACCGAACATCACCCAACCGCCTTTCTTTTTTGAGCCCGCGCTATCCTCCCCCCTCCCACGTGCGCGGGGGGGGTAGGCCGCTAGTAGCTAGGTAGCTAGTAGCTTAAATAGCTACCACTTAGGATGCAGGATAGCTCGCGCTTCTTCAAGGAAACTCCCCTGAAGAAGCGCTCGCACTGATGATTTGGTTGCTTGATTTTTTGGGAAACTTAACCTTTAGGCCCTTCTATTAGTTTCTTTCTGTTTTTGCATTGAATTCATGGGCGCAACGGGTGATGTTTCGAAAGCCACTTGTTTTGCGGAACGAAGCGAGTACCTCATGCCTCATGGAGTCCGGGAGGTTCCTATGTCGGGTGTTTCATCCAGTGAGGTGGGAGGTGAGCGGTAAGTGCATGTGAAGGGTGTGGGTGGAAGGCCAAAAAGGAGCCCCTAGTAGCGTCCTTGCTCCTAGTTAGTAGCATCCTTGTTCCTAGTAGTACGGCCAGGAGCTACTAGTAGCGCCCTTGCTCCTAGTAGGTCTATGAAAGAAAAGGTGCGGATGGGGGTCGGAGACTCTGAAGGGCTCCCGTTTCGATTTGAGATGTGGCATACATGGGAGATGATGGGGGGATGTTTTGGACCATCTTGGACCTTCGTGGAGCTAAACGGATCGAAGGTGAACAAAAACAGTGATGAGCCAATGACATCGATTTTAGGGGGATTGCAGATATGTCTTTGATTGCCTTTGGCACCTCCTTTTTGTGGTGCCGATGCGTGTCGTGTCGCTTGATGGTCTGGGTTGCATTGGCTTTCGGCCCTCCCTTCTCAGGCTTTGTTCAGTTGATTTGCCTTAGAGGTTTTCTTTCAAGGCTGCGTTGCTCACATATCGGTCCAAATTGTCCAAGGACTTCGAGAGGGTGCATGCAGGAGCTGGCATGGTCCCCGGCTGGGAGCATATGCGTCAGATGATGCGGGACACAGGTTCGTTGTCTCTAAAGGTATTGGTGGATCACTAAAGTTCTCTACAACAGATGATATACCGATGAGTTGGACGATGTGTGCGAGTGAGAGTCTGTGTAGTCGCTGTAGTCTTTGGTCGTTTTTTTGCAGAGTCTTTTGTGAGGTGTAGCCCGGCACAATGTATCTCGTGTACATGGTTTTTATTCATGCTGCTGTAGCATAGTCAGGTGCAGTGTAAGGACTCGCAGCTGGATTAGGGGGAGGCCAACGCTATTAGGTTGGAGGCCATCGCTATTAGGAGCAAGGACGCTACTAGGGGCTCCTGGCATCGCTACTATAGGAGCAAGGACGCTATTGGGTTGGAGGCCATCGCTTTTTTCGGCTGGGATGACATCGCCCTGCCAGGTGAACGCGTGAACCTCGACGAGTTGAAACAACGCATTGCAGGTAAACGGCCCACATTGGGGAGGCCGGGAAGCGAAAGGCCAACCGGAAGAGGAAGAGCAATTGAGCCTTTGAATGCTTTCAGGAATCGTTTTTTGTTCAACTCTATTCCAATTTGCCCCAATTGTTTCAACCCTTTTTGAGATTTCGGTTCGATTCCAAGCGTGCTGAGCTATTTTATTCGGGCAAGATCAATTGGATTGCTTGGGTTGGCGTGGTTTGTAGGAATTCTGTCAAAAACTGCTCAAGACGACTCCTCCTCCGTGCCGTCCGGCACGGTGGCACAGCTGATTCTTCACTGACCATTGAATAAGAGGAATTGCTATTAGGTTGGAGCCATCGCGTTCTTCGGTTGGAGGCCATTGCTAGTATTAGGTTGGAGGCCATTGCTATTAGATTCCTTAAAGTCCTTTTTCTACAGGGGCATGTTTATAGTGCTCTCCGAGGAAGAATTGCTGTCACAGCTCGCAGATGCTGAGCCTGGTCAACTCGAAGAACTCTTCGGCTCCCTGATGCGTTGAGTCAAATCTCTCGTGTTTTGCCAGAGACGTCTGAGCTAGTTTTGCCGAAGGCAACGAAAGCTCTAAGCAGACCAAAGCTGTCTGACAGAGGTTTGGCTACTCTATGACTGTCGCATTGTTGCGCGATAGCTTTGGAGGATCTTGCAAAACGACCGACAACGAAAAATCTAAATGTGGCATGTTTTGGTGAGTCTCAGTGGGAGAACGGATAGTTCAGGCGTGCTCAGTATTCGGCATTCGGCAGGAACAGAAGGAGGTTCGGCTTCTTAAGGATCGGACCGTGCGGACGCGCCACGATCGGTACCGTGGTGGGTGTTCGTGTCACCTGGCCGACTCTCACATCGAAAACAAACACATGCGGCGCAATTTGGCGGCACAAGGTTTGGAGGGTGTCAGGTTTGGTGCAAGTGACGATTTTCGCCCAGATATCAACCCGACATTGAGCACAACTTTGGACCTTGATGTGCAAAGCGCCACATCGATGAACTTAGGACTTCGGCGGCCACCCAGTCAGGTTGCGCAAAAGGCGTCGAAACCGACCAGATCAAGGCCCCAGACTAGAGCCCCTTCAGTTTTGCAAAAGCTGGAAAGAATGACGTCAAAATCGTGTACTCAACAGATATCTCATGGTATCTCATTGCAAAACGGTTTTGAAGTTCCAGTGCCCATCTGATTGTCCGGTCTCCGCCGTTTGTGCAGAATGCGCCCACTTCACCTGCACGGGTTTTGACACCTTCGTTGGAGGGAGCGCGTCAAGCATCGTTCTGCGCCACTCTGCTCAGACTGCGTTTTATGCATTTCTGTGCATTGCGGACGTTTCCTCCAAAAGGTTAATGCTTTAACATCTAGAGGGGGCATTCAGGCATTCATTCCCAAATACATGCATAGCAGGGGCTCCATGATGTCGGCGAGAGGTGTTGGCAAAGGGCCCAAGTAGACCTATTGACCTATGCCAGACCTTCTCCACACTTCTCTAGCCTATAATTACAAGGACTCCCGGCGTTACTAGCGGCTCCTGGCATTTGACGCTGCGGCCGCAAGGCAGTGCCCCATCATGGCGTTAGGGTGTGGTTTGCCCACAAAATCACTCAATATGTAGGTCATACCCACACCAAAAAACTATGAGTTTCACAGGGCAATACTTAGTTTTGAGAGTTTAGGCGCTGATTTCATTGGATTTTTGACATAAAAGCGCCTCAAGATCATCACTCTCGTGGTGTTTCGCAGCTCTATTTGGTGCTCTCTCACAGTTTTTCGTGACATCCTCTCGCGGCTCCTGTCAGTCTATCCCACATGGTGTGAAATCATACAACAAGTCTTGCGCAATGAACTTTTGGATCTGATGTTGCAACAGTCCAATGAAGCGCCCCGAAGTCCGAAGCACCACGAACATTTCTCAGTATCCGCTTCCTTTCAAGTGATGCAGTTTCCCAAAGCAGTTCTTCGCCTTCCAGAGACCAAACCAGAACAATATCAACGACGTACTAAACTCGGGACATGAACAAGACTTTGGAGCGTTGCCAAAATGATGAACTTTAGTATATAGATCTTGTTTGATTCAAAATTTGTGTTCTTGGTCTTCGTGTAATTGCTTGAGTCAATTGAGTTCTCTTTGCCAATTTATGTAATCACTCAGTGTTTTTTTCAACTTGATCAAAAGACACATTTGGCGGGAGTTGAAGCTACTAGGAGCAAAGGGCATCGCTTCTAGGAGCAAGGACGCTACTAGGGCCTCCTGGCCTCACACTAGGAGGCCTGCCCTGCTACTAGGAGCAAGGACGCTACTAGGTTGAAGGCCATCGCTCTTAGGTTGGAGGCCGTCGCTAGAACGTTGGAGGCCGTCAGGGACCTGAGGATCTTGGCGTCGCCGTTGCTGTGGCTTCCAGGGAAAACGGACCGGGCCGAACCCATGAGCCTGCGAGCCCATGGGCCGCCTGCGGCGCACCGAATCTCCGGAAGGCAGGGAAGATGTATTAATGGCCTCCAACCTAGTAGCGTCCTTGCTCCTAGTAGCGATGCACTTGTTTCTAATAGCTTCTTGTTCCTAGTAAGGCACTTGTTACTAGTAGCGATGCACTTGTTCCTAGTAGCATCCTTGCTCCTAGTACTGCCAGGAGCTAGTAGTAGCGTCCTTGCCTTATGGTGTGTTTTATAGTTTTTAAATGTTTGTCGTTTTTCTTTTGCGTTTTTCTTTTCAATTGAGCTGTACTGGTAGACCAAATGTGTGAAGAAGTACGTGAGTCGCGTCCAGACTTTCCATCTTTGAGAGGAAAACCTTGGCATATCTTGACAACATGTGAGAACACCAGTTGATGCAAAAAATGATGCTCCACCATTCTAATAGTTTCTTGCTCCTAGTAGTAAGGCACTTGTTACTAGTAGCGATGCACTTGTTTCCAAAATAGCTTCTTGTTACTAGTAGTAAGGCACTTTGCTAGAAATGCAGGCCAAAAAGTAGAGCAATCCAAGCTTGTCCGACGGAGTAAGAACGCTTTTTGTAGAACGCCTCCACAGAGGGTTCCCTACTGTGTTCTTGTTATTTGTGTCAAAGCTTTAGACCATTCAGTCAAACTTTAGCCTTCCATGCTTCTTTTCTTTTTTTTATTTGGCCGCTTCTTCCGACGGTTCTTTCTATTATTTGTTTTTTGTTCTAGAGATGCTTCTTCCTATTGTCTCTAGACCTTTCCTCCTTTTTTTCCTTTTGGAAAACCTTTCTTCCTTTCTTTTGAAAAGACCTTTCTTCATGTATTTTTTTTCTCTTGTTTCTACCCCAGAACTTTCCGATGCCTCAAACCTCTTTTCACCATGTTTTAGAAGGTTCTTCCTTTGTTCACTTTTTTGCTTTAGACCTGTCTTCCTTTCTTGTGTTGTTTTCTTAAGAGCTATATAGTTTCCTTTTTTTTTTGGTCCTTTTTTTTCCCTTTCCTGTCTCGGATCATAAGGTCAAACTGTCAGTCAGAGCATTAGAGCATTCTCCAGGGGCGCCTTGCCCATATTGCCAGCGCGAGGGGGGGAAGACAAGTTTAGCCCATGCGTTTTCGTCGTTTCTTCTTCTTTCCATTGTAGGTCAATGTCACTGCGGGCTTCCACCTGAAGGACTTGCAGCGAAGTGACGCCCTCACTGCCAAACGCGAGAACAAATTGAGTCGGTTTGGTCATGTTCACACGAGTCAAAGCAAAGAGGGCATATGATATCGAAGCAAAGGATGATTTTTTGGGATGTAAGTGTGAGTTTGGCGGGATGTTAGATGTTAGAGGTGCACGGTGGAAGGTTGAGCTTTCAGATGCTTTCAGATGCTTTCAGGCTGGAGTCTTGGAAGAATGACCCTGACCTTTGCGTCATTTGGGCCGCCTTTTGTCCTTCCTCGCCTTTGACTTTGGCTGACGGCATTTCACTGGCAAAAACTCGAAGGCGAAAGCTCGATGCCCCTAGTAGTTTCTTGTTCCTAGTAGCGTCCTTGTTCCTAGTAGTAAGGCCAGGAGCCCCTAGTAGCTTCTTGCTCCTAGTAGCGTCCTTGTTCTTGCTCCGAGTAGCGTCCTTGTTCCTAGTAGTAAGGCCAGGAGCCCCTAGTAGCGTCCTTGATCCTAGTAGTAAGGCCGGGAACCCCTAGTAGCTTCTTGCTCCTAGTATCGATGCCCTTTGCTCCTAGTAGCTTCTTGTTCCTAGAATGGTGCAGATGGAACACTTGCGATGGCCTCCAACCTAAGAGCGATGGATCACTTCTTTCTCCACGATCTCAAGATCACGTTGTCCTTTAAAGATGGCCGGGGCCAGACTTGTGAAACTTTGTGCCGACTAGTGTCAGTGTGTGAGGGACGTAGATCAAAGCAGTTGAAACCAAGATGCCCGTATGAATGTTTGCTTTGTAGAACAGTTTGGAAGCCTGCAGGTCAACGAATGAAGTGCTGCAGCTGCTTACCGGCAGAGGCTGGGACAGAAAGAGGTTACATATTCTGCAACATGCACTTGAGAGGACACCTTCAGGACACCTTTCCATATCTAATAGCAATGGCCTCCAATCGACTAGTGATGGCCTCCAACCTACTTGAGAGGACACCTTTCCGTATGTCTTGGACGGTGCAAACACAGTTCCCGAATGGCGCCAACACCTCTCTTCGCTTCCTCGTTCCTCTCTCCAATCCCAATGATGCCTGTCATTGCTCCTAGTAGCGATGCCAGGAGCCCCTAGTAGCGTTCTTTGCTCCTAGTAGTAAGGCCAGGAGCCCCTAGTAGCGTCCTTGCTCCTAGTAACATGGCAAGGTAGCTTTGCTTTGCATGGTGTTTCGTGCATATCGGACACATGCAAGCTTTCATCCAACAAGACAACCCGAACGCTTTCCCCAAAGCCAGCAGCATTGGCGTTAGTACAACCCGACTGGTTTTGAGGGTTGTGGACTCACCCCGAAGAAGCTGATTTTCCAGAGGCATTTGTTACATGCAGAACTGGAGTGAAATGGAGTCGAAATTCCTTCCCACTTTGTTTTCTCCTTCCTTTCTCTTCTTTGTTCTTTTCTTTCCCTTAGACCCTTTAGACTCTAGACCTTATTTTCGATGGCAGATGCAAGGAGATCCTAGGAGCGTCCTTGCTCCTAGTAGTAAGGCCAGGAGCCCCAAGTAGCGTCCTTGCTCCTAGTAGCAAGGCCAGGAGCCCCTAGACCATATTTTCTGATCTTCTTTCTTTTTGTCCTTAGTTTCCTACGATAGTCTGCGACAGTCTGCCGGGTGTCAGGCGGAACTGCTTGTGGCACCTGCATGTGCCTCCGTGGAGCGCACCAGGAGGCCGTGACCACAAGAAGATGCTTCGTTTTCGGAATTTCATCGCTAGTAGGTTGGAGGCCATGTTTTGGGATATGTTTGTTTATTTTTTTTTCGTGTATCATATATATATAAATATTGAGAGAGAGACCTTATTGTTTATAAAGCAACATGTATACTCCACACGTCGGGCATTTTGCCTCCTCTTACCTCTTGCGGCTCTTCTAGGGCTTTGCCTGGGCTTCGGTTGGAATGTCAAATTGCCCTTTGTGCGGGTTGCTACTTGAAAGAGCGGAACTGCTAAACCAAGATGCTTTCCGAATGGGTTCAGGCGGATTTCAAACCGGCTACCGGTTCGACTCCCAAGTCGAGTGTTCGACTCCCTTGGAGCGACAGAAGCACTGCAAAGGTGAAAAAAGGCGATCGAAAGGCATTGCGCTGCAGCGCTGCGCGGTCAAGAAAACCTACTAGTGATGGCCTCCAACCTAATGGTGATGGCCTTCAAAAAGATTTCAAGACCTTGTTTGCCTTAAAACATCTTAAAACCCTTGGAGAAGCCTTGCTCCGAGATGCTTTCTCATCGAGTTAGGTCTTAGTACGGGCTAGTTGAGGTCAGAGACCAAATTTGCAAGGCAGACACATCACCCAGATCACCAGATGAGGGCGCGCCAATACCGGCTGCAACTCTGGCACAGGCTGCAATGCTTGTGGAACCAACGTTTGAGACATTGCAAAACGCATTATTCTTGGAAAATCATTACAAGATTGTAAGTGTTGTAAACATGATACAATGCAATACATACTGTATTATTTGTTTCCAGAATTCTGGCCTGAAGAGCGTTCTGGTCATGGATTCTCACCATTTCTCGAGCGCTTCAGGTGCCCACAGATTTGTGGGTTCAAGAAGCTTGGGCCGACACGGCAGCTTCCTAAGTGGATCTTCTTGAACGCGCATGCCCAGAGACAGGAATCTTAACAGAAAAGCAAGCATTAGCAAGGAGTTACTAGGAGCAAGGAAGCTACTAGGGGCTCCTGGCCTTACTACTAGGAACAAGAAGCTACTAGCAACCAAGGGCATCGCTATTAGGAGCGATCGGACGCTACCAGCGTTTCGAAGCTACTTCGAAGCTACTAGTTTTCTAGTGACGCCTTACGGCCACCCTTACGGCCTACTCCTATGGCCTACCCAAGCAAGAAAGAGGACTGGCACGCAAGCACGAAGAATCAACACATTATCATTTGTTGTTGATTCCTTGCCGAGAAGGAGAAGAACGGCTCTTTCTTTACTCCTTTTTATCTCTCTCACATTTTCTTACTAGACTACTCGACCAAAGAATGTAACGTCATGTTCGACAGAAGATGGATTTGATATGGTTTCATGGTTTAACCGTTGTTTCACCGTTTTCACCACCTTTCGAGGTCTTGATGCCATGGAACTCCAGCGGCTTCAAAGTTGTTGGGCGTTTGGCGAAATCGATTCATGGCGAGGCACAAGCGATCCAAAACACCGAAGAAACAAGAGAGAGAGAGAGAGAGAAGAGAGAAAAGATGAGACAATGTTTTTGTTGGCAAGGAAGACATACTTGTTGATAGATGTTTGATAGATGTTGATAGTAAAAGAGGTGTTTTTCTTGATTTTTTTGAGGCGTGTTGTTGACAGCAGCAGCTTCCTAGTCGGACGTGGATACCATCACATGTCCACGACCGAACAAATCCTCTTGACACTCTCTTTTTCTTGTTTCTAATAGCTTCTTGTTACTACTAGTAAGGCACTTGTTACTAGAAGCGATGCACTTGTTCCTAGTAGCTTATTGTTCACTGTTCCGTGTTTGAGTCATCTCCAAGACAGAGATCTCAGGACCTTTTGAGGCAATGGACGAAAGTATAAGTCATTATCGTTGAGGTAATTCGATGGTAACACATTTGTGCTAAAGCTTCCGCCTCTTGCATTTGACAGGTTCATTTTGTGAAAGATGACACAGGAACTGCCTATGTTGCAAAGGCCGGGTCAATCAGACATTCCAACAGACTGCCATGTTCAATAGATGGTGAGGTAGCGCCGAAGGACGATGTGAACCTCACAAAGGAGAAGATGGAAACTTCGAAACGCCCCGATCTGTAGCGTCCGATCGCTCCGATGCCCAAAATGCTCCGTTCGAGTCGCGAACCGAACGTTACTGGTAGTAAGGCCGAACGGAGCGCCCCGAACGTAGCGTCCGAACGCTTGCCTTCTGATTCTGAAGCCTCCGGATCTTCAGGACGGAGAGGAATCGACGTGGCCCGGGGCCCAAGAAACGAAACAGTCCTCCGGCTTGCCGCAGTAGCTTCAAAGACCTACGATAAGTCCGCGTTCTTTGCTTTGAAGAACATCAATCCCCGTTTGAACAAATGCAGTTCGAACTTGTGACTGTCGACGTCGAAAAAGGTTCAGCCCAGAAAGTCATGTTCACTTCGAAGACCTCCGAACTGAGATTGCGGCCGACCACTCAGACGACCAAAACGAGACAGGTGACCAGGCCGACCAATGGTGTCAGAATGTCCGAGAAGCGATGGTCTCCAACCTAAGAGCGATGACCTCCAGCCTAAGAGCGATGGCCTCCAACCTATTAGTGTAGAAGTATGTGTAATAATGTTTGTGCTTTCAGACAAAGACACTTCTGCAACTTGAATCCTTGATTCCTCATCTCGAATGAGCCTCCAAAGCACTCAGATTGAGGTCTTGAGCTTTCTGAGCAAATTGAAGTGCTCAGAGAACCACATCGTTGAGATGTTTGGATCCTTTGAGGCCATCGCGCTTTTCGCTCTTAGAGGAAAGGGGTTAAGAGATGTTAAGACGTTTTTTCGAAGGCCCTCTTGTTTCAAGAACGGATGTTTTGAGGTTTATATATTTTGAGAGTAAGAAAGACGGATGTGTTTGACAATGCATTTATGCCTACGTCTACCTGTTTTCTGTTCCTGTGCATGCTCGTGTGCAGGATGTAGCATCCCTTTACCTCATCACAGCCTATTGTGAAGAAGGCGGACTGCAACCAATTCAGCCCAACCCAACCCCAAAAAATACCGTTCTTGGTTGAGGTGAGAGTAAGATCCAAAGCTGGAGAAAAGTACTCCTGTGCTGTATGCGTCTTCGTTCGTGTGATCTGAAAGTGCCAAGTCAGACGCGCCTGTCTTGCTGAATCGCCGCCGTGTTTTCGTTTCATCTCCCCAACCTAGTAGTAACAATAAAGCTACTAGTAACCAGTGCATCGCTTCTAGTAACAAGTGCCTTACTAGTAGTAACAATAAAGCTAGTAGTAACCAGTGCATCGCTTCTAGTAACAAGGATGCTACAGTGCCTTGCTGAAATAAGTCCGATAAGTCCAACCTCTGAAACCGACTGTTTCGGGTCCAAACGGTTCCGTCGTTCCGATCAGGTGACCTTTTCGAGAGGGTGGCCTATGGCGACCCTTTGGGCGAAGCGGAGAAGAAGCGCTATGTCGGCGATATCCTGCGAGGAGTAGAGCCCTTGGGCCACCTCACATCTCATGAGCGTTCGGTCGCTCAAAAATTGCGAAAGGAAGCTAGTATGTTATTGTTACTACCAGTAAGGCACCTGTTACTACTAGCGTGGCACTTGTTACTACCATTAAGGCACCTGTTACAAGCTAGTATGTTATGCATGTTGCGAATGCAAACGATCTTGCAACTCTGCCAGCAGTGTTTCTCGGCAGCTAGCTTCTTCTCCTCTCTTGCAACTCAACTCTTGTATTGCAAGCCAGTGTAATTGTCAAGAAGCAAATCTTAGGTACTGGGCTTTGACATCAAGGGGATTTAAAGGGTATCCCTGTCTTGGAACAGCCTGTTGGACATAATAGACCAGCGGCCAATTACCGGTTTGCATCCCTTAGCAATCGTTTCTTGACATTTGGACGAGGTTGCCCATTTGCATCGACACAACATTGGTCATCGGGATCTCTCACTGGAGAATGTGGGGGACCTTAGCGAAAACTGCACACAGGCTCAAGACTCTAAGGCTGAAAAACGAGCAAGGTCCATCCAAAGAAAACAAGAGAAAAGAAAGGAACAGACTTGAACGCAATGGCCTCCTCTCAACACAAAAAAGCCTCCCTCCAAATAGTGGTAGCGATGGCCTCCAACCTAATAGCGATGGCCTCCAACCTTCTCGTACTAGCGATGCCCTCCAATCTACTAATAGCGAGGCCTCCAGCATTATCGCTATTTACCCAAGACCTGAGGGTACCCCAATTGTGGTTGGGTTCCAGAAAGAGTCGTTTTCCTGTGGACATTCCAGACGAAAGCCTTCGGCAGACAATCTTCAGGAGAAATAAGACAGGGTCGAAAGAAAAGACACATAAAAGGAAAAGTAAGGGAAAACAGTCTATAGGGAAAGAAACTGATTGTAGAGCCATGGAGAGTCATCCTCATTGCACTTGAGGTGTTGCTCCAGAAAGGGAATTGTGTGCTGATCGACTTTCGACAGGCGCTGCGCCTGTTCTCACGGAAAGGTTTGCAGGAGCGGAATGTGAGGGTCATGACCGGTCTTACCATCCGTCCATTCTTCGTCAGCATAGTGGTAGCATTCTTTTGGCCTACAACATGGTAAGAAACTATGCCTATAGTCAGCTGTCGCAAGCAAGGAGCTATCTAGATACTGGGACAGAAGGGCTAGGTTGGAGGCCATCGCTTCTAGGTTGGAGGCCATTCCTATTAGGCTCTTCTTCAAGTCGGGGATAGTCAAAGCCACTACTTGCGGTCTCTGCATTGCACTTGGAACCTGCTAACTGGAAGGCTGTGATGCTGAAGTCAAGTGATGGAGTGGTGAAGAGGTGGCGCAGCTTGCAAAGGGTCCAAAACACTGTTAAACGGAGGATTGGGCCATCGCTACTAGGATGCAGGCCATTGCTACTAGGGTGGAGGCCATCGCTACTGGTCTTCGAGAAAAAGGTAGAAATATTATGAAACATTTACTGTAAGTTGAGGACTATGACGACTCGTATATGCAATATGAACAAAAACATTATTCGACCTCAAAATCCAGATGTCCTTGGTTCTTCGTGCTTTGCCTGTTTGTCTTTCTGTTGAAGACCTTTGGCAGCCTGCCCTGCAGGTATTTTGTTGAGGCCGGAAAAAGGATGTATCGTTCCCCTGAGATGTACGTGCCCCGGTGCAGCAAAATTCAGGCCAGATTCTTGTTCTCACGCTGAACAAGAACTCGCTACTAGGAACAAGAAGCTACTAGGGGCTCCTGGCCTTACTACTAGGAGCAATGTTCGCTATTAGAAACAAGAAATAGATAGAATTAGAATTCAAGTATAACTTCAGTTCAATCAAAAGAGACATTTGGCATGGGACTGCATGAGCCTTTCAAGTGTGAATGCACGCACATCCGCAGTCCAGGTGGTTTGTCCCTCAGATGCTGTAGCCAACACGGTCTCCATGGTGGCTTGGTTGACATCAAGGATATTTTCAGATCGCACTGTGAGCCTCGTTCTTCGGCTTCTTGTGACTAGTAATAAGAATGCTCCTAGTAGCGATGCCAGGAGCCCCTAGTAGCGTCCTTGCTCCTAGGAGCGATGCCCTTTGCTCCTAGTAGCTTCATGGACTATGAGTGCTTTTCCGAACGGGTAGAACAAAGCCAGGTGTCCCACGAGAAGATGCGCTGCGAAGTTTTCCTACCTTCTGATGCTGTGCCTGGGAAGTGAATTCCTCAGAGAGAGAAAAGGATTGATCCAATGCGGAATGGCAGTGCCAGTGGAATTCTCAACAGGAATCCAAAAGCAGCCGGGTTCTGGAATTAGCGACTTGTAGTATCTTGTAGTACTCTAGGCCTTACTCTAGCATTCTGTGTAGCAATGGCAGCCTACCAGGAAGGCTCTTTAAAAGCCTTACTCAAAGGAAGCTTAGCTGGGAGCATTTGGTGATGTGAAAGCAAGAGGGCGCACGAGGGCGCACGCACGAGGGCGCACCTTGAGCATCTCTGCATGTTTTGGGACGCACGAGTGCACACGTGGGGGGTATGGTTGTGAATCGGCCACGGTCTGTGTCCTTCGGAGTCTTTGCTTCCACGGCTGCAGCCGAAGGTTCCCAAGGCACTGCCATACCGCTGTGGCGCTGAATCTCTTGGGGCTCGCAGTTTCAACGCGTTGGCGTCAGTCCGCCAGCCTTGTCGTCAGTGGAAGGTAGGTCGCCACCGTGCGAAAGGCCGCGTTGTCACATTGATGGTGTGGATGTGTGGTGCAAGGGTTCAAGGATGCAAGGATACCATCGCTCTTAGGTTGGAGGCCATCGCTACTAGGGTGGAGGCTGCTATTAGGTTGGAGAGGAAGGAGAGGAAGGAGGCGCCTGCTCGGCTACTTCTGAGAGGTCCCTGTGCGGAACGGGAGACCTCCTCGTTTCGGCTGGGCTGTTGCCACGCCCCATTGGAAAGTTCAAGCGAGGGCTTTAAACTTCGAATTTTCAGAGCCCTCGACGGAAAAGTGTGGAGAAGTGCTGTATATACGGCAAGTGCTGAATCGGACAGAAGAGCCAAGCGTTTCAGAGAAATGTATTATAAGGTTCGCTACTAGGAACAAGTGCATCGCTTCTAGTAACAAGTGCCTTACCAGTAGTAACAAGAAGCTAAGACATATAATAAAACATTTAGGTTTCTAAAGTAGAGTACAGACACCTGGAGAGCTCAAAGGCAGGTACAGAGAAATAGAATCGACACTTTCATGGACAAATACCTTTGGAGTTGGATTTTGTGGAAGGCCAAGACCCATAATGACCCCATAAGTCTTTCAACAGTTTGCTGGTGTGGAAAGAGTCTCTAAATACATAGCAAAACACTAAGACTTTCTGTTGTGAGTGGCATTTGTCCTCGCTCCGAGGGCTTGCACTGCCACACCTTTTGGCCATGACCTCAGACATTTTGTCGGACAGGTCTGAAGGTCTCAAGAAATAAGAAGGACAAGAACACATGGAAGAAAGGTTGAAAGAAGAAGCTACTAGGGGCTCCTGGCATCGCTACTAGGAGCGAAAGGACGCTACTAGGAACAAAGACATTGCTTTGGCGCCATCGCTACCCAGCAGGGCCACATGAGCGCCTTTCAAAGGAACTCACTCGTCAAAGGGTCGGTAGGCCAGACAAAAACCTGCACAGGGTAAGGAACCCTCAATGGGCACTGTGGCAACTCAACAAGCTGAGGTTATGCTGCAGCACCTGCAGATGTTTTCGCTTGCGGCATATGTGCATTTGTTCTGTCAGTGGGCAAGGCCAGCTTGTGTCTACCAAAGGTTCTGGGTTCTTCCCAAAGGCATTCTTGCAAGACACTTCAGGCCTTCAGGCCAGAAAGCCTTCTTTATTATAGATATATTAATTAAGATGACCATGTTTTGTTCGTTAGACCTTTGGATCCTTCGGCTGTATCATCTTCCTTCCTTTTTTTCTATGTCCGTTCTTGGGACACTTGAGACCTAAGGCCAGACCCTTCTTGGATCATTAGACTTGAGCTCATGCTACTAGTAACAAGGGCATCGCTACTAGGAGCAAGGGCGCTACTAGTAGCTTCTGGCCATATTACTAGGAAGAAGCTACTAGTGTGCTCATGCTAGTGTTCTTCTGTTCAACAAGTACAGCCTCGCCCTGCAGCCTCCCTGGTCCGTGGCGATGGACACGGACCCTTCGTTCTCTTTTTCTCGCCGACATGGCGTTAGGAACCTCAGAGCCATGGAATTCGGGTCTCTTTGGGAACAATGGACGTTTTTGGAACATGCCTTCCACATGATTTGGAATGAAATGCTCAATAGCGATGGCCTCCAACCTAAGAGCGATCTCCTCCAACCTGATAGCGATGGCCTCCAACCTAATTGTAATGACCTCCAACCTAAGAGCGATGGCCTCCAACCTAAGAGTGATCTCCTCCAACCTGATAGCGATGGCCTCCAACCTAAGAGCCATGGCCTCCAACCTAATAGCGATGGCCTCCAACCTAAGATTTGTCCAAAGATTTTTGGATGTTTTCAGAAGCAATGTGCTTTTTACTGCCTGCTACGTGGTGCCTTGAGGTGGCCAGCTTGCTTCAGCAATGGCGAGGAGCCTCCAGAGGTCCTGCGAGCTCACCAAGTGACGAGGCCCGATCATCGTTCCAACAGCAGAAACGAACCCATTCACGGCTTCAAAGGCAAGAATTCAAGAAGACTCTCCGTTTCCTCTTCCTTTTCTTTTCTTGTCCTTGATGTTCTTGCTCCTAGTAGTAAGGCCAGGAGCTACCAGTAGCGTCCGATCGCTCCTAGTAGCGATGCCCTTTGCTCCCAGTAGCGTTCTTGCTTTTCCTTTTCCTTTCTGGTCCTTTATGTTCGAATCAAAGCAAAGGCACAAATGTAAAAAGTACAAGCAGTTCCCGGGCAAGCCGGCGGCGGAAGTTTCCAAAAGAGTAAACCTATAGGAAATGGGCATGTGCAGGCTGATTCGCCGAGCTGCGATGTTCTTTGACAAAACAAGTTGGAACCGACCAATGGAGCGAAAGCGAAGCAACCACCGTCAACTGTCTCGCATTTTGCAAAATACAGAATAGAGATGACTCAGCCGCGTACTAAAGTTGTACTACAAAGTCGCCAGTTCTCAGCTTCCAGCTCCACCGCTTGCTCCGCATACTAGAGTTGCACTACAAAGTCGCCGGTTCTCAGCTTCCAGCTCCACAGATTGCTCTGCGCACTAAAGTTGTACTACAAAGTCGCCAGTTCTCATCTTCCAGCTCCCC